ACTGAAGACACGCGCGTTGTCTCTTTCGATGCAATAAAGCGAACTTCTTGTTGGTGGCAAAGATGACGAAATTTACCCTCCGGCATAACGAGTCACATGTGTGCTCTTATAATCGTTATGAAAATAAACGTAGTAAATATCGCACGCTTATAATCATTATGAAAATAAACGCGAAAGTTGTAGTCGAGGAAAAAACTGGAAAATTATGCGAACTATTTTTCCGCTTCGCGGCACGGTCGCTCGTAATCGTTACAAAGAAGCGCGATCATCAAATTAATAAACAGCAGATTTCTCGATTGCGTTAATATATCGACATACTTTATAATAGTTAAGAAGAGCTAGAGGATTGTGGAATTAAGAAATACGAGAGCAGTTTGAGAGCAAGTTAGTTATTTAAGAGTTAGAATCTAAGTTAATGGAATTAAAAAATTCTTTTCCTTTTATTATTATTTTTATTATTATTATTATTTTTTAATATAGTTTTTTAAAATGTCACTAACTTATCAAACTACCCTCGTATTTATTAATCTGTCGTACATGCTTCAATCTCTTAATTGTTTACTATAAGAAATGTTTGTGATAATTGGGATACAGAGATAGCTTATCATTAGCGAAGTTTATCTAAAAGTCGATTGACGGAATACATTCAAGAAAGGAAGTATAGCGAAGTTCTACTTTTGCCAAAGGAATTTGGCGTCGAGTTTTTCTCGAGGAAAATTTAATCTCTTGATGGCGCGATCCCATTAGATCTTTTTTATTTAAGATTGAATATATATTAAACTTTAAGTAGAACAAATTTTTAACGAAAACAAAAAGCAGTCGATATTTTAATGCTTTAATAATCTCTTTTAACGGCTTTTTATTTTATACTGGGTCTTTTTTTACGGCACATTTTCTGTTATCCGACGAGTGATAGTAAGCGCTTTAATTAGAACGTCTTGTATACAAACTTACGAGAGATTATGGCGGATGCAACGAGAGTTTCGTCTTTTATACACCAGCTTCGGGCGATGAAAGCGGCACTTAAACGACTTTTTCGCGATACTGCAAAGATATAACACAACGAGCCTCCCAAGACAAAGCTGACGATTTAATGCGCGATCCGTGCAGCCGACGTCGGATTATTATGAAAATGATTGTCGCGGAAGCAGCAGTGTGTGCGCGCTATAAAGAGTCGCGACTAATTGTTATGCTTCCCCTAATTCTTCGCGTAATGCGTCCCAACTCTAGCCCTGTATATCTTTATGGTAATTCAACGTTTTAACGTCTTTTTGCCGGATATGCTAAAGTCGTTTCTTCCTTCGGTGTCTTCGCACTACTATGATAATAAATGCTGCGAAAAGAATTAACGATCGTCCCAGTAGGTCTCTAAATATAACAGCGCAAATAGTCTTTGTTGGTGACGCATTAAGAATTTCATCTTTTATAGATGAAATTATATTTTTTCCAAAAGCATTCGAGCGACATTTTTTTAAAAAGAAAAATAAATTGATCACGAAGTAATTAACAGTATTTAAAATACATATAATTAGGTATATTTTTAAATGCTCACAGCGTTTGTATTGCATTACAGTAATATAAAGCAGATACAAGAATTAAGTAACAAAGGATTGGACAAAGAAAATGGATTTTTTTATCTTTTTATATTTTTTTGATAATTATATACTTAACTTTTTAAAAATGATTTGCTAATTATAAATTTTATTGAATTGAGAAATGTTAAGAAAGAATATTAATTAATCAAAGAATAACGTTTTGTGAATAGCTTTGTATTTCAGATATATTTTGCATATTCACCGTGCAAGTCATCAAACGTGAGTTGCATTCTGTTGGTTTCGCTTGACCTTCCACATAAATTCAGCATCATCGTGGAATCAGGCTTTCACGAGATATCCGGAAGCACGTCATGTATTTGCGCATTGTCATTGTGAAAGTCACATATATATAAGTTCTAGCAGTCTGGTTTTCTTCAATGATAATCACCGTTATTCCATCACATCTTGCAATGACCACCAGTTTCTTGTCGACCTTTGATTGTCATCATATGTCAATCATCTGTCATGCGATGATTCTATCACAGCGATTATCTTTGTGCTAAAAATGGAGTTACTTAGCTTAGTAAGGATTTATAAGAGAAGGGAGAAATAAAATTATAAATGAGAGCGCAATTAATCATGTAAAATCCAGAGATAAACTAAAGAGCAATTCAATAATCGAATATTTTGAATAAAATGACAAACAATTTATGGATTGTCAATGCGGTAAATTAATGAAATCTAGTTTATATTCGCGTTTGTTTTTGCAATGTTAATATTATACAAATATTATTTTACTGTCGTATTTTGTAGTATGTGATTTTACAATCTTGACATAGTCTTGGTTAAATACATATGTTGCGATGTATTTAATTTATGTACATATATAAAGTATATATATTGGTAAAGCGCACGTACGTATATATTTAACTAAATGGATGCATTTTGGTTATAAATAAAATAACTAACATATGCGAAGCATATTTATGAAGGCACTAACGAGTTCTTCGGGCATTCGTTTCAATTTACCATGTTCTAATATTATACATATTTATATCGTCCCTTGTAAAAAAAGTTTCTTGATAATTAATTCGCTGCTGCATTTTGTGCGGAATATAGTAATGGCTAAATTTATTTTTACAAAGCGCGTATACAAACTATTTTGACATACATATTTGCCTCTTTATAAGGAAAAAACGAATATTATTTGTATTCCAACCATAATTTATTTTTCTGCAAAAATAGATAGGATTTCTTCGTTTTTATATTGAAAAAGTTTTTATGTTATATTCGAAGCAACAATTTATTTGCGCAATTCTGTTTTTGCTCATATTTCTATGGCATATTACATCAGTTGGGAAGCGAATATTTATGAAAACGTCAATAACTTTTCTACACCTGCGTTATTTTTCAGTATTTTAATTTCCACGCTTTCAAGTTTCATCTTTCTTGAAATGTTTGCTTTTATAATTTATTAATAATATTTTTTGCGGGATAATAATATGATTTGATATGACAGATGCGAAGCATGAAACTGTTATTAAAATTATTAGGGCATTTATTATGTTCTTATTTGAGTTTTTATATTAAATTAAAGTTCCAATGTAAACAAACATTTTAAATTTTTGGGAATGAAATTTCACTGAAAAAACGATGATATTTGCATTAGTCCGGCAAGTGAATTTTACTTCACTCCTTTGAGGAATGAATTTTCTAATCTAACAAGAACTTTAATGATTAATATCTCGTTTCGAGATTGAGCTTTTTTTCTGTCAGATTCGTTCATTTTGTGCAGAAATACGTCGAATGAGCCTATAATTTCGTCCAATAAGATTGGATGTAAGAGGGGTTAAACTTAATATTTATCAGAATGAAATTTCCGTCTCTTCTTTTGGAGAGTGAAATTATACACTCTGCAGAGAGAGAGAGAGAGAGAGAGAGAGAGAGAGAGAGAGAGAGATTAGATCGAAAATTGAATCTCGCTTGGAAGGATTCTTTGCTCTTTAAGAGTGAAAAAATTCATTTCTGCTGGGTTGGCGCAACTCTCACTTTTTTGAAATTTTGGGAGTGAAATTTCACTCCCAAAAATTTAGAACGAAAGAGATTAGGTACACATACGCTTGTTTCCGAGGTTATGATTTATTTCTGCCATGTGGCCTCTTTGTCATAATTGAATGTCGTGTTCGGCATTGGTGAACGTCAACGTATGATATTAATCCGTTTCGCGTACTCTTCTCTGCGGAATTCGATGGCGCGAACGTCAATCTTAGTCGACTTTGATCTCGTTAAAGGCGGATTTGTTACGTAAATGCCACTTGCAGGAGTGAAAGAGCGTGTGTATATTTAGCGCTGAATCCGTTAGTGGCGAGAAGCCACTTCGATCCATATGATGTTACATGGTTTCGTCTTAAGCTGTCTTTGGAGGTTCGAAGGTTTCGAACATCGTAGCTTGAAATTGTGGAAGACATCCATCGTATCAGATCAATCTCGCGTTCAATTCGCAGGGAATACGAAATGATAAGCATCACGATTATGAAAACTCACATTTTATTTATCAGCAAGAATTATTTTGAGAGAATTTTATTTTAAATATTTAAATTATCAGAATTCTCTGATATTTCGTTGAAATATATTGGCGTATACTTTCAATATAGCTCGGATATTTAAAATGTTATTTTTTTTTAAATTATCGATGCATGTTCTTTCGTTATCGATATTTTGTTGCCATTTTACTATAGTTGCTTTATTCTATACAGTTTAAAATATACTCACATAGTAAGTACGCATGAACTTATGGACTGACCTGACATTTCATACAAAGTATCGCTCGAGAATAACTGATACTACGCTGCGAAGTCAAGATATTTATTCTCTACGTACTTGCGTTATTTTCCTCTTTCTGCGCGAGCAAATCGACATATTGTATGAAGAGCTTGTACAAGCTCTTCGATATCAGTTTATATATCAGTTGAAGTAATATGCTTTTTTTTTATATATAAATCCGGTGAGATGGTTGTGCTCGAGGATTTTAGCTCGACGTTTTAACTATATATAATATGACTCCTCCTTTGTCAAGCCTTTGCTTCTATGCAAAACGCTGTACTTCGAACATTACAGCTACGCGAGGAATTTACCGTATTTTGCTCCATTCGACATTGGAAAGATATCTATTTGACAAATCTTTCTCTAAAATAAAATTTGAAATAATTTTTCTGAAAATAGTCCTCTAGATAAATAAGATACAGTCTTTCGTAATCGTAATATGTACACACACTTAAAATGCTTCGTTCTTTTGCCTCGACGATTCCTTTTCCTTTATTCATGTTATTACTAGATTATCGGCCTTCTGCGTAATGATCCGGAGCGAGCCGAGTCGAGATATTATGGCACGCAAGAAACGCCGATAATTACTTTTCCAGTCTCAAAAAATTCTCCAGTATTTCACAATCACAATTTATCTTGCAGATCCTGGACGATACGCTTGTTTCACGACGCGAGTCTGTTTAGCAAAGACGTATCCTTTGAGAGCACGAACGGACCGATATCCTTCGACACTTCGCATTCCTACGTCGGTACTGTTTTGGGTAAGTTCATTTATATTTTATTTCCTCATCAATCGAAGAAGACATAAATAGCTCTTCACACATTGCTTCAATATAATCATCAAATTATGAAATTAAATTAGCACAAATGTAGTATGTTAAAATTGACTCGAATTAAATCGAATTTCCTATTTCTTCGTGTAATTTATATAGAATTTTTCATCTCATTACATACACATTAAATTATTATCTCTCGTTGCGTTATCGATACTATTTTAACGCTGCGGTAATTTTTGTTGAAATTATTTAACGATTTGGTCGCATTCTGCCGCGGTTATTAATTTAATATTCAACGTATTGATGACAAAAATAGTATAATTTTACCAAGAACTATGATATGAATATTATGCGTTACCTCTTTCTCTTGTAATAATTATTAAAATTTTCATAATGTAGTGATTATAATATGTAATTGGTAATGGGAAATCTATTTTCTTAACATTTTATTAAATTTATCCCGCGCTAATAGAAGATCGATTATTTACATTGATTTAAAGCATAAAACGCGTGTGTCAAAGGAACTAATTACGTTGGCAGATAATGCCGCAACCGATCAGGGATTTTGATTCGAGATTATCCCAAGATAATCTCAACAATCCGATAATCTCAAAGCTCTCTCTCTCTCTCTCTCTCTCTCTCTCTCTCTCTCTCTCTCTCTCTCTCTCTGTCCTAGCATGTCAACGTCATAGAGCGACGCACTGAGAGCGCTGTTGATAGTCATTGCAGCAACCGGATCAATATTTATACACGCTCATTCTGCGTACCGGAATTACGTTGCGTAAACGAGGCGTATTACTGTCATTAAGCCGGCGGCGTGGCACCGTGCGATCACGGGCGAAAGAGTAAGTAGTGTCAGCACATTTCGAGATTAGGCGTGGTATTATACATCGACGAGCGTGCGCATATCCACGGACAAAGTAATTAGCTGGTATCCCTCAACTTCAACTTCGTGATGGATAGCGTGCGACCACCCTGTCCGCTATTTCGAGGCGGTTTCCGCTTGGCACATGTGCAGCATTCGTCGCCCCGGTAAGAGCAAGCTTCGACGTACCTAAGAGTGCCTTGTTTAAATCCTTTGATACACTCTATCCATTTTCGTATTACTGAAAGGTCGTTTTACTTGATTATAATTGAATACTGGTTGCTTCAATCGCCATGCAGTGAAATCGCAATTTGAGCACAAACGTAATTTTAATTTAATGAAGAATTTCAAACATAAAACATGAATAATATAGTGAAAAACTTTACAAAATTTTAATTTACTTAAGTAATATTAAGTAAATATTTACTTACAGTAAATAAATATTTATAAAAAATATTTATAAAAAATATTAATAAAATGTTAATAAAAAATGATAATTAAATTAATGGTTTTTGCATTAAATAAATATATGTTTATATTCAGTAAATATTTACTTAGAACTATTTAAACAAACATTTATTAAAATTTAGTTTTCCTTTTTTCAGTGTACTGTTGACGAAATTTTGTTGATAACGAATGCATTTATTGTAATTTACGAATGTTACTTTTTCGCGAGCAGTTCAGTCGAGGAGCATCTCCAACTTTTATAATTGTCACAATAATTCACATTTAGTTTAATATATTTTTCGAATATATTTATAACGTGAAAAGTAATTATTTTAATAAATTAAGCCGTACGTTATAAAACTTTGTGCTTTAACTTAAATGAAAATAAGATCTTATAATGTTTATCAGTTTTTCTATCGATTTTTCCAAACCCACGGGATTTCAGCATGCAAACAGTGAAAATATCTGAAAACTCGAAAGTTATGTTCAAAACGGATTTTTCTTATTCTTATATAATGGTCCTTCGGGATATCTTTTGTATCTTAATAAGCCAATATTTTCAAAACTACATGCATAACAAGTGAATTATGTGCAACGCACGGGGATTTATTTTGACTCCCAAAGTGCATCAGAGGATTAACGCTTTGTTTAACGTCATTACATAACCGCAGATGGTTTTCCGGCTGAATACGATTTCAGTAATTCATTGAGCACGCCCTCATTAGTTCGCGTCGCTAATGTGCCCATAAATAATTGAGTTTGTTCCGTGTTACGCGAGTCAGATACGAAAGGATGAAATAATCCTTCTTGATTGGTCCTTATAAAAACAATTTAGTGATTTATTAGTACCGTGTCTAGTTATATTCTGTGTAATTAATTGGATGTACTTATTCCTTTCGAATGTAGAATGTCGCAGGAAGTTAGAAATCTTACATTCTTCTTCAACTTTACAAGTGTGGGAAAAGAGCTAGATTGGACGCTTTATGCGTTGGTAATTTTCAATATGAAATATCCTGATAATTTTAAACTTTAAAGAAAAAGTTTATTGAAGTAAAGTTGACATTAAATTAATCAAAATGAAAGCTTCTTTTTGCCACATAGATTATTAAAACTCGTATCCTCTGTTTAATTAAACTCCTTCGGGTTTCTCTTTCGATTGCTTTTAATATCTTTTTGCTGAACCGTACTGTTCACAATAAGTAAAAGATGCTTTCAAGCTATTACAGTTCTTTTTCATCTCTTACGAGCAAGACGTTTAGATTCTACAATATAAGTTTTTGTAATAATACTTAATGCACTAATAACAGCACCGATTCTTAGTAATAATTTCCTTTGTTGAACATAAACAGTCTAAATTGTTAAATTATTTTTAGAATCTCTTGTATATAATAGAAAAAATAATGTCTGCTAATATAAAAATATAATAATTCATCATAAAAGAAATTAATTTAATTTAATTTATTGCAAAGCTTTATATAAAAGACTACGTGTTAATAGACTAACAGACATAAAATGTGATACAATCGACTATAATTAACATGAACATAAATACAATAGACAATAGTAACTTATAAATGGTTAGACATCGGCAAAATTGCTGTTACAAAGTCTACTAGTAACAAAACCAGAATAAGACAACAATGCAATAAGAAGTAAACCAATAGTTGAAATCAAGGCTTAATAAATAATGATAAACCAGTAATAATACAGGAAGTAATAATAACAAGCTCTCACGAAGACTGAAAAAAAGTCGGTCAGATCGATCGGCGACGCCCTGCACGCCAACCAGTATCAAATATTCCCCTCGTAACTTTCCGCGACTCTCGTCGCGACCTGGAGCGATCGAGAAATAAATTTCGCGTTCGAACGAGCGTATCTCGAAGCGAATCGCGTGCGCCTCGCCGCGAACGCATCGGAATGCGCGACGTACAATGAACGGAAATACAAGTTGCGCGGTCCTCGATTTCAATTCGAAATTATTTGAGAGCCGCACGCGTGAATCGCACGAGGTACTGTTTGGCGAATTGCGAAGAGAACGAGAGAGGCCATTGTGCCCGAATTTGCAAAAAAGTTCAGAATTTCGCGTGTGAATTCCAGAATAGATTCCTCCGTCGTTATTTCGCGCGTTTCTTTCGCATTTTCAATGATAACATATTTATAATATATTATTTTTTAATCATGTTGCCTGTATTTACATACGATGATTTTTTTTCTTTTTTTAATGAATAGTCGTTAGTGAACATTGTGTTGTAAACAATATTTTTGTCGCGCTCTGTCTGATTTTCCACGGATCATATTAGCCACTTTTTGGATAGCATGTTATTTTACTCTCGTCGTTACATTAAACTAAGGATCTCAAACTAAGGATCTCATTTCGTCATAGCCATCGTCGTTGTCGTAGTTTCTCGTCGTTTGGAAACGTGCCAAATTCCCTTATTGGAGATACACTGCGCGGTTACTGTACCGAAGGGGTCACGAATAAGGGGTTAGTACAGACCATAGACTTTCGGTGGGAAATAAGCGTATGTCCATGATTGTGACTAGAAATATTGGAACCACGGATTTAAAGAGCGATAGATTTACAAGTCGATCTTTTTTGTTACGAGAATCTCTTCACACAATGTTTGCAATCGTTTTCGTTTTATATTGTTAAAATTACAGCGTCAAATTTAATAATTTGAGTCACCACTGCTTCTATTCAGTGTATCGTTAGTTTTAGTATAAAAATATATAACGATATATTGAGGAGCAATGACGACCTAAATTTGATACTATACAATACAGTATAATAAAGTTTTAATGTCTGTTTTTACAAATTTTTATTTTAATAATTATACGCTCTGCGAAAATAAGTATACGTTTATGATTGCGACTGAAATTATTGGCTTTAAAGAATGAAGGATTTATATAAATCCATGAATTTAAGGATGGACTGAACGATTTTTATAAATCGGTCTTTTTTTTCGTAGCAAGAATTTTTTCAACCTTCGCGAATCGTAATTATTTACGTTATTATAGTATATAATAAAACTTTGATGTTTATTTTTATAAATGTTTATTCTAATTATGTACCTAGAAAATAATTAAGTGAATACTAAATAATCGGTAATTTTGTTTACTTGTTTTTTACATGCAAAAGAGATTTGCTTTTCTATCTTTCTATCTTTTCTGTACATGGAGATATTTTCTTTGACATTAGAAATAATATATTGATGTATATGTAAGAGAAATAATATTTTCTATTTTTATAGATAAATAAAAGTATCAATTAGCGTTTCAGTTAAGCGTGGGATATTAGAATAAATCAAATTTTTACACGTTTAACTTATAAATGTCATTTTTTTAAGATATTTTGTATTTGTATGATCCAAATTACGAGAGTTGTGACATTACCAGCTATATGATTCTAAATTTTGATTATGAATTTAAAAAAATTTCTTCATAAGAATTAATGGTTAAACTGAGACAAACACGTAGATACGGCATTGCTTGAATCGATGATGGTTGATACTAGTGCATCGTCCGTGCCCTGTAAGCGTTTCAGCAGGAACCAGGCGGATACATATATCGAACAATAGAAATAGAAAGAGAGAGAGAGAGAGAGAGAGAGAGAGAGAGAGAGAGAGAGAGAAGGATCTGTGTGGTACCTATAATTTCGGCGTACGGTGAACTA